AAAGCCGCTGAGAGGTCCAGTAGCACCAGCAGGGTCACACTACCCCTGCTGATGCCCAGACAAAGGTCATCAGCCAAGGCGAACATGGCAGTCTTAACTCCATATCCTGTCCTAAAGCCAGTTTGAAATGGATCTAGATAATCGGTTTCCTCCAAGACAGCTTGGAGTTAAAGAGCAACCGCCCTCTCAATCACTTTGCTCAGAAAAGGTAGTAAAGAGACTGACCTATAATTCATATCTGGGGGTCCAGGGAAGGTTTTTTCAGAAGCAGCCTAACCTGGGATTGTGCACTTCAAAGCTCCCTTTCCTTTATTTGAAAAGTAAAGGTACTATTGTTGACCATAAGAAAAACTAATCAGGTCAAGCAAATGAACACAAATATGTTTTATATTGTTGAGATCTGAGCTCCGTATCAGGCAAGATGTCACAAGGAAGAGGGTAAAGGAAACTGAATTTATGTTTATTCACCTACTGGAACCTTATTTGAAAGAAACACCTAATTCCATCTAAACTTATAATGCAAACTCAATGACTTCAGCATCAAATTGGCCTTTTCTGTTTATTTTTGCACTCTTCACCTCTTGCTTTTTGTAGTGTGTTAATTAATGAAGAGATCTAGAAATCTCAAAAATTTATCCACATTTTTGTAAATATTCAGTTTTCCTAATAAAGGTTTGTGTGCACATATATGTTTGTGTGTATGTGTGTGTGCCTTTAAGTCACTTGTTGACTTGTGGCAACATCATGAAATTCATTACATTTTCTTAGGCAAGGAATTCTCAGGTGGTTTTGCCAGTTACTTCCTCTGAAATATTGCCTATAGCACCTAGTATCTGTTGGTGCTCTCCCATCCAAGTGCTAGCAAGGGCTGCCTAGCTCCCACAGATAAGATCTTTTGCCTTTAGGGCATTTAGGCCCAAATAAAGGTATTAAGTACAGTATGGATTTTGCAGCTCTCCTTAACAGTGATGAGTAGCTCATGTGATATGAGTTCACTCGCTCGATCCTTCCTTCATCTTTGAAGTTCACTTTGGCCTGATGCTGCCTCTTCAAGAGACTGATGCAGCATACATACTTTGAAAAAAGACTTTTTCCTTTCTGCTTTCCCAGACATTACGCTCCGGGGTATGGAGGTTGGACTACTGACAATGAAGAAAGGAGAGCTGGCGCGATACCTGTTCAAGCCAGATTATGCTTTTGGAGCGATGGGCTGTCCTCCCTTGATCCCTCCCAATGCCACAGTGATGTTTGAAGTGGAGCTTTTGGACTTCCTGGACTCTGCTGAAACTGACCAGTTTTTTGACCTAACCGCTGTGAGTACCTTTATAGAAATCTGAACTGAATATAGATCCTTCATGTTCTCTTTATGGATGAGGAATATCTGGCCCTCCAAGTGTTTGCAGACATTAACTTTCAGAAA